AATAGTAATCATATCGGCGCATAGGAGCATTAATGGAGGGCCAATTATTTACTCGATTATGTTAGTGGTGCCGTCGCACACCCTGCTCCCCCCCCCCCCCAAATGACGCCACTATCATCAGTAGGTAGGTACGTCGAAATAATAATTCTATATTATATCCTCGTCATAATCTATTTCCATAGAGTTATTTAGGTGAAGATAGGATGACGAGTAAAATTGATGATTAGACACTCTTTGTAACAAGTTATTATGGAAAATATGAATATACTTACCTATTCGGCTATACGAACTATTACAAACTTCCTGTAATGCAATACAAAGTATCTTATGAAATTGTGTCTCGAATATTATAATATGAACTGTTAAAATAATAAACAATAATTTATAATATATTTTACAGGTACGAGAGGTACCTACTATGAAAAATATCGATTTTATTTGTAATTTAATAATGATATTATTTATGTACACCCCGGAGATGAGAAGTACAGAGTTAATTCATTTAGAATCGTGAAAGCTTGCAATCTCAAAGGTAAGTGAATATTGTACACGTCATATTGTGCCGATCTTCCTCCCTACTACCTTAAAAATAAGTTATTTCTTAAAATGTACCTAAGGTATAACTACTTTTTTGTGGAATAAATGCAGTTTAGCTGCCAAGCGATTTTTAAAATTTTTTTCGGGATATCTATGTATATATTTAAATGAATTAAGAACAATAAATCCGTGAGTTTCCATAATCCCATAGGTTTTTTCAAATTAAATTACTTTATTATCCAACAATAAAATAAAAAGTGAGTTTGATAATATGTAATTTCCGATTCGACTAATACATATGTTAAGGATGTAAAAACTCAAATTTTGAAAAAAAAAATCACTTAGAAACTAAACTGAATTTGTTCCAATATTTCGTATTTTCATACATTAGTTAACTCTTGATAATACTATATAGGTACTATGCCTACCTATAAACTATAAAAATAAAATAGAAAATGAAAAAAAAATATTATCTAATGCATTTTTTCTGTTGTTAGTTCCTAGTTAAATTAATATTGAATAGACTATAGAGAATAACTAGGTACGCTGCAAGTCGTATAGAGAATCAACTGCTATATAATACCGGAATAGGTATACCAATATACCTACCTACCTATAATACTAGGTCTAATACTCGATATTAGTGCTAAACTTTTGTTTTTTAATACAACACAATCAGTGGCGCATCAAGGATTTGTTTTCGAGGGGTTGTGCCACTTATATACACCATAAAGTATGTGCGGTGTTGGTGTTTCGATTGTAACTCGTAGGTAGCCATTTAGGTAATATATTATGTAATAGATGTAATAGATGTAATAGATCATAGATATCAGATGAGCTAAAATTGACAAATATTGAAATGGGCACATGAAAAGTCCACCACGAGAACCTTTTTTAGTGTAAACTCCGCCGGGGAAGTAAAAAGAGGTAAAATTAGGTTCATGTAAACTCCGCCTGCAGTGACAAAAATCAGGTAGAATTGAGTAATGAGAACTCCGAGGCCAGTGAAAAAAATCAAGTAACAGTATATTTACACTATAAAATTAAAATAATATACAGATTATTATTAAACAAATAATCATACATTTATAATAATAATAATTACCCTTATTAATAAAATTAAAAATAAAAATAACAATATTCGAACAAATCATACAAACTGCAATGGCAAGTAACTATTACGTAAAAAATAATGATAGACAATATTGTAATAAGTAATAATCAAAAAAGGTGTAGGAATATTATATTATTATGACGTTATATGTTATAATAAGTATAATATTTTCAACTGTGAACTAAAATATGAGATACAATTTGTAGATATGCAAACCATTAGGTAAGTCGTAAGTCTAGTATGAATCCATTATTATAACTATTTAGTAGTTATCCCGTGATGTTTGTACGTAAGTATATGATTTAACTCTAAAGTATAAAAGTTATACCAAGTTTGTTGTATTTAACCTATGGTGGATTAATATAATCAATAAATACAAAATCCTAACCTAACCTAACCAGTAACCGTACTAATATCAAATGAATAAAAAAAAACAAATTTAATCAAATTTAAATTAGCCTGTATTCTGCCCAGAGGTTTAATCTACAAACAAACATTCATTTATATAATATATATATTGACAAAAATAATAATACAAATCAACAAACATGCCAGATTAACCAATAGCAAACAATATATAATACACTGTTGCGAAACTGTTGTATTTTTTACATCCAGATTTCCTACTTTTCAGTTGGATTGTCCTGAAATAAAATTTTCTTTCGTATCAACCTTCTTCTGGTAATTACGAACATCTTTAAAAAAAATTTGAGCCAAATCGTAAAAGCCATTCTCGAGTTTTAGCGAGACTAACGAACAACAATTCATTTTTCTATATTATATGGATAACCTTCTCCTAGATTGGAGATTTGAAAATAAAGTGATAATTTCTTAAAAATCTGCTTTACGTACCTACCTACTTGTGTTTTCTGATGAAATTGTCATTATTGCTAACGTAAAACATCATTCTATTGGTATTAGATTTATTCACATTCAAAATTGGCCCTCTAGTAGCATGGAGTTGCCCATCCCTGGTATAGGTAATCTTTAGGATTTAGGGCATAGAACTATAGAAGTTGGATGAGCTAGAATTGACACATATTTGAATATGCAATCAAATCCATAAATCATTTCACCTTTTAAGTTACAATAACTACTGTAGGAGGTATAAAACATAGGTATACCTACCTAATAACAAAAAATTATTAATAGGTACCATCAAAAATTCATAACTTTAACAAATAAAATCACTACCTAATACATTTAGCAAACAAATAATAATGATAGGATTTTTAAACCTCAAATTTATAAATAAAATATGTACCATTCATTAATGTTAATTTTTTAAATACTTAATTACAATTTCGATATACTTTTTATATTATGATGCGAAGATTACATAGGAGTGTTGTCAATGGGTGACATATTTACTCAAACACTGAGGTACAAAAAAACTGAAACATAATTTATATGCTTTTTAGTTATTACGAGTATACCCTAAACTATTGTACAACTCAAATTATAAAACATTATAATATTATACATTTATATTCACGTAATAATTAATAACATATAGTAGGTATAATATAAAGCAAATGCATAAAAATTCAGTCAAAGTGAATCACAGATAATTGAGTGAAGTTAAAGTACTGCGATATTAATTTATTGTTATAAGCGTAAATCTGCGTAAAAATAATATAATAATATATACTTTGCAACGGTACTCGACTTTCGGTAAAGAGACTTATGCCGAATTTAATTGAGGCAACCATTATTAACGGAAAGTACGCAGGTGAAAATGTATGTATTCCTCGAATACCAATGATTCCGACTGATCTTCCGTTTGACTTCAAACGATTGCAATTCCCAGTTCGCCTTGCGTTCGCAATGACAATTAATAAGTCGCAAGGCCAATCGCTTAGTGTTTGCGGGATAAATTTGGAAAATCATTGTTTTTCACATGGACAGTTATACGTTGCGTGTTCACGAGTTGGGAAACCATCCGCTTTGTTTGTGTTAACGTCAAACCAAAAAACAAAAAATGTGGTTTACCAAAGAGCACTACAATGAAACAATTAAATAACACTTCATTTTAGTAGGTAATTGAAATGAATTTATTACTGTTGTGAAATGAAATAAATATTTTCCTTTTCAAATATATAACAAAAAAAATTTTTTTTCTTTATATTTTAATCACCAAACGAAAAAAAACATAAAACGAATCTGGTGGCGAAACGGAGTTCGCCGGGTCTGCTAGTATAATAATAAAAATACTAAAAGGTACGTAATTGATTGTTGCTGGCTGAAAAGAAATAAACATTCAAACGAGATAACAACGGATACTAGCAGGTCGGTACATCGACGCTAAATAATAAACAAACTTAATTATTAATTTAGCTAAAAAAAACAGTGTGCACTATATTTAATAATATTTTATAATATTTTTCTTTTTGGAATTTCGCGTCAATTTATATAGTATCTCCAAAATAATCTACAACCGAAAGTGATCACGTTAAGATGGATGTGATGATCATATATCAGAAAACTGTCGAATATTGAGGAAGTAGTAGGTAAGACTAATAACGAAATTCTTAAGCCCGGCGATATTGATCATTTTACAAATTATAGACCTATATAGCTATATCCTTCTATCTCTTTCCATAATCCAAAATATTTTAAAAACGATTAGAATAACGTTTGATTGATTTTTTGAATACATTAATTTTTACTACAAACCAATTTGGATTTTGGAAAAATAAATCAACAAAATTTGCACTGTTATTAGCTTCGAATTTTATTCATTCTAGTAGATATTGACAATGGTCAATGACAATACTAAGGTAGGTAATTGGTTTGTATTTAGATTAAAAAAATGCTTTACATAAAAAAATATCAAAATATTAATGGGGTATTATTTGTATTGCTCGAGATGTGTTTATTTCATATTATTTCTCAAATAGATTGCAATCATTGTATTTTACATTGTATCAAAGTTGGACCAAGTTTGTCGTATTCCACCTATGGTGGATTAATATAATCAGTTAATACAAAATCCTAACCATTCTAATATCAGATGAATAAAAAAAACCAAATTTAATCATTTTTAAATTAGCCCTTCTTCTTCCCATTTTCTAACCTACACACAAACATTAATTTATTCATATATATATATATATATATATGTGGGATTTGGGGTGACCGATTAACAGTAAATAAATATAGCGCGTTTATTTGATATCATTACTTTATTATTTTATTCGTATAACACACTTAACAGATTATTAACTACAACAGAAAAATTACATCACAGCACAATGCACACGCACTTTTCCAACAACAGTACAACACAGACTCTAGTACTCTACTCTTACTGCTCGTACCACACACACTCTACGCACCAGGGCGACATCTAGTGCTGAAATCCCACATTCTCCCCTTCTTTAATGACATCCGCCTCGGATGACAACTCATCTTCTTGAATGACATCCATCTCGGATGACAACTCATCTTCTTGAATGACATCCATCTCGGATGACAACTCATCTTCTTTGGGATTCTCCTTCCACTTCTTCATATAATCTGAGCCCGTTGAAGTCTTCACTGGGCCTTCCCCAGTGCCTATTTTCCTTACATCATATCTGTTGGGTCCGGCGCGCCTGGTTACGCAGTATGGACCCAGATATTTAGGACATAACTTTGAAGTAGGCAGGAATTGGGTTCGTTTAATAGCTACCAAATCACCTGGCCCATACTGTGTCGCTTCTTTTCTTTTTTTGTTGTATGTCTTTTGCTGTTCTAATTGTGCCTTTAATATATTGCTCTTGGCCTCCCGTATCACTTCTTGATGTTGTTCTACATGGCATTGCACATATTCTTGCTCCACTATTTTCCTAAATTGTACATTCTCTGGATGCTTCATCTCAACTCCAAATGTTAGCTGAAAAGGTGTCATCCCAATACTTCTCTGGAATGAACTGTTCAACGCCATTTGGACCCGATGTAGATACTGCCACCATCTATCAGGATTATCAATGCTCAATTTCGCTAAGATGTTAGCAATAGTAGCATTCAAACGCTCAACTTGCCCATTTCCACGTGGCATACCTGCCGTTATGAGTACATGACGGATTCCTCGGTCTTCACAATAACTCTCAAAGCTCAATGAAGTGAAAGCTGCACCTCGATCCGTCACTATTCGTTCTGGGTTACCAAATGTGGTTTCCAATGTAGTCAATTTTGTTATAACTTCATATGCGGTGGTGCTTTTAGTTGAAAAGAGCCAGCAAAACTTAGTAAAAGCGTCCACAACGGCAAGAATATGATTATAACCCTTGGCGGTCCTAGTCAATGGTCCCATGAAGTCCAGATGCCAAGTCGACAACGGCGATTCCCCTTTATCAATACAGTTTAGGAGTCCCTCCTGCTTTCCCTGTTTCCGATTCATCAGTATACATGGTACACAATTTCTTATAACTTCTTTAATCTTGTTAGAGACATCAGCTATGGAATATTCCTGACTAAGCAGCTCTTCAGTCCTTTTAACACCTAAGTGTCCTATTTTATGGATATCTTGAATAATCTCCCGACACATGGCCCTAGGTACAACTAATAACTTTTTACTACCTTTTAGTTCATAAAGTAATCCGCCTTCCACACTGAAATCATCTCTGTTGTCCCGCTGTGACTCTAACTTTAATGTTGACAGTTCAGGGTCAGCCTCTTGAGCGCTCACTAACCTTGCTAATAGCTCACTTTTTATAGCCATACACACAGGATACCGGCTCAAGGAATCCACATGGGGCATCCTTGACCCGGCCCGGTGTTCTATTTTATAGTCATATTCAGATAGTAACAATGCCCACCTAGCCACCCGAGTGGCTAGTTCCTTTTTCTCCAGTGTCTTCGTGAAAGCTGCACAATCTGTCACTATTTTGAATTGCAACCCAAGGAGATATGACCTGAACTTCTTTATTGCCTCTACAATGGCCAACACCTCCAGCTCGTAGCTGTGGTACTTCTGTTGTGGATCAGTTGTTTTTTTGCTCATAAAATAAACTGGGTGGAGCTCGCCATCATTTTCCAATTGTAACAACACTGCCCCGAAGCCCCATTGACTGGCATCAGTATGTAATTCAATGGCTTCTGCAGCTGGATTGAAAATAGTTAATACGGGTTCACTGGTTAAACGCTTCTTTAATTCTAATACAGCTGCTTCCTGCTTATGTCCAAACTCGAAACAAGCTCCCTGCTTAAGCAAATCACTCAAGGGCTTAGCCACATTAGAATATGCAGGTATAAATTTGCGAAAATACCCAGTTAAGCCTAGGAAACTCTGTACACTCTTGACATTGTGTGGTATGGGGAAATGTCGAACAGCCGATACTTTTGCCTCGGACGGACGGATGGAGTTGTGTCGAATGCGATACCCAAGATATTCGATAGACTCCTTCAGGAATTGGCATTTGGACCACTTTATTTCTAGTCCGTACTCTTGAGCAGCTTTTAGGACTTCTTCCAATCGTTCAATACCCTGGGGTATACTGTTGGCCACAACTATCAGATCATCCATGTATGCCATGACATATCCAGCCTTGATCAAGTCTCTGAAAACAAAGTTAATAAATCTTTGAAACACTGAAGGGGCGGTGCACAGACCAAATGGTGTGCGAAGGAACTCGAATTGACCATTAGGTGTGACGAAGGAAGTATACTTTACACTCCCCTCTTCGACTGGCACGTGAAAAAATCCATTACGGAGGTCCAGAACACTAAACACAGCTGCATCCCGCAGTCGATCAATTTGGTCTTCAATTAGGGGCAGCGGATACCTGTCTCTGATGACTTTCTTATTAAGCAACCGGTAATCAATACACAAACGCATCGTCCCATCTTTCTTTGAGACCAACACCACAGGACTCGCATAGTCGGAACAACTTGGGCGTATGATCCCTTCTCGCAGCCATTCATCAACTTGTTCATCTACAGCAGCTTTTTCTTTTGGGGCCAGTCTCCTTGGCCGTTGGTACACAGGCTGGTCATCACTGAGTATTATGCTTGTCTTAATGGGTGCCGACCTTGCGGCCACTGGTTTATACGAGTCGACAACTCTCTGAATAGTGGGCAGTGACTGCCGGTGCCCCACATCCAATTCGTCCATACAGGTCTCGATGGCCATTATTCTTTGTTCAGGTACCCTGGATATCTCGATTAACTTAGGTCCAACACGCAACTCAGCCTTCGTTTGGAATAGATGTCTCCCTATAATCAAGTCACACAAAATATCATCATCCGACACAGAATATAAGTCTATGTGATACGTATTTCCATCCACGGACAAATCTACAGCACACATTTTTTCGGTGTAAAATGAGGAACCAGCTGGTCCACTCAACCTGACTTTGGCAGATACTGCTGATTCTTGAGATAACAACATCATGAATGAACGGCGACAGATATTCATATCACAACCAGTATCTATCAGTGCGGCTGTATCCACACCCTGGACTTTGACCAACTTAAAAATTCGGTTATCAGCTGGCAAACTGTTAACTTGATACATCTGTGGCCCGTCCTCATTTCGCCGACCTGCATTTGGGCAATCGGCTGCTCGATGTCCATGCGACTGGCAGGCAAAACATTTGATGCCCTTAGCTGCATCTGGGCAGTCTGGAGACAGATGTCCCTTGACCCCACACGTATAGCAGCGCAGTAAAGACTTATCAACTGGCTGTGAAGGTCTAAGCTGATTATACGGCTCGGAACGGCGTCCATGTGGTTTAATATTATTCTTAGCTTCAACCAATATTCGCTGGTTTATCACACCATATACCTCTAATTTCCGCTTAAACTCTACGATGTTGGTGGCCCCATAGAGTACAGTCTTATTCACTTCGGAATCTTGAATGCCAGATATAACATAATCAATTAGGGAATCGTCTTGCACCGAACCCTGCATAGCCAGTTCTCTCATTCGGTACAAAAATTGCATAAGCGTCTCACCTTCTTGCCTAGTTTGTGCAGCTAGTTGTCTATGCACATCAGCAGCCGTCAATCTGTTTCTAAATTCATCTCTCAGACGATCTCGCAATGTTTCCCAGGACTTAATACCACACTCAGCGCGGATAAACAACATTGCAGTTCCTTGAAGTAGGCGCTTACCGTAAATGAATATTTCGAGACTGGTCCATCCACAGACCTCGGCCATTTCTTCAACGTCCGCGACCCATTTCTCGACGGAGTATGAATCGTCGCCACTGAAGGGGTACAGTGATTCTTGCACATCACGAAAGTTTATCGTTCTTGAGCTTCCGGCGCTTTCGTTAATCACCGTATCATCATTCCCTTGAAATCCACTTGACGTTGACTGCCTCTTTTTTGCCTTGAGTCTAGGCATGATTATCAATTCTAATCACACAAATATTTATCGATGGGAACTTCGGAACGACGTTGTTATCACCAGTTACGCAATGATGCCAGCTGCAGCTGTCAAATACCGAATTTCGTAGAGTGGTAACTGGTAACTGAGGTTATGATAGTTACGTAACGAATTTACGTTAGAAATTTCAAACCTCGTGACAGACAACCGGCAACTCGATTTTCCTTCTTTAAAGACACAAAATTAGTACTTACGAATCACAACTTTGCAAATTCCTTATTCCAAATTCACAACGTGGCGCGACTATTGTATATAGTATTAAATTACGAGTGTCACAGTCACGACCCCGATCCCGGACAGGCCCCCAAAGTTTATGTGGGATTTGGGGTGACCGATTAACAGTAAATAAATATAGCGCGTTTATTTGATATCATTACTTTATTATTTTATTCGTATAACACACTTAACAGATTATTAACTACAACAGAAAAATTACATCACAGCACAATGCACACGCACTTTTCCAACAACAGTACAACACAGACTCTAGTACTCTACTCTTACTGCTCGTACCACACACACTCTACGCACCAGGGCGACATCTAGTGCTGAAATCCCACATATATATTGACAAAAAACAATAATACAAATCAACAAACATACCCGATTAACCAATAGCAACCAATTTCTTATTTTTATTTCTTATTAACCTTTTCCCGGCAATTACGAACATCTTAAAAAAAATTTGAGCCAAATCGGACCAGCCGTTCTCGATTGATGAGGTAACTATCATTTTTCACGCTCCATTTTTATTTATATATATTATGATGTGCAGATTGCATAGGAGTGTTATGAATGATTGAAAAAGTCACTCAAATCACCGAGGTACACACAAACTTAAACATTATTTATAATAATATGCTTATTACACATTTATACCCTAAATAATTATTGTACAACGCATATAATAAAACATTATAATATATCTATGTAATAACATACCTAGTAATATAATACAACACAAATGCATAAAAATTCAGTAAAATATAATTAGGTAGGTAGGTGAAGTTAAAATATTGCGATATTTGTTAAAAGCGTGAATCTGCGTAAAAAAAATGTAATTGTTCATGCTGCTGGCGTCAGCATTTCTGTCATTATATCTACAACAGCGACAGCGTACAGCACGCACAATGGGCAACTCTTTTATCCCCGCTCTTCCCGTCTCTTCCTATTCATTACATACTCGATCCACTCCATACAAAAACGTATTTATAATGTCTTTGCTCAATCAATGTAAGCACCGCCATATTGTTTTATATTTTTTTTATTCTCTAGTTTTTTTACGTTGTGTCAACATAACCAACAGAAATCGTAATATTATAATACGTAGTACTGTGTGGTGTGTACTGGCGACGCTCGCTATTACAGCAGCTCCCGATCTTTTTTATTATTAATTGTGTACATACACGTTCTATCTTTTCTCATTGTTGTCATCAGTCAAATGACACAATAATCTTTGTAACCTTATCTGATTTCGCGGAGACTGAGTCTGCAGATCATTTACATAACGGATATCAATAAATCATAATATTTCGCTCAAAATCGGTGAGTACTTATTCATTTGGTTCCTTTTATAATATCTACCTCTTTGTTAGAGAATCCGAACTGACTATCGCCAATAAGAATCGAACGTACGGTGATCATTACACTATCACCCGCGTTATTCTTGGCATCACTCGTCACTTGCGTAAGCCCGCCAGCAATCATTGTGTGTTGTGTGAGTGGCCGCCCAGGTCGTCCAGATGCAATACGCTGTGGATCGACCAATCTTATACCTCCACCTCAGTCATTGATGCGTGGACATTCTGGGGCATCAGTGGATATCGTGACAACTGCATATACTTCCGTAGCATAAGTTAGTTGTAAGATTATCTCCACCTGTTGTGAGCTCTGTGGTCATTGCACCAGACCGATCCAAGCACAGAGAGACCCCCGCTTATACGTAAATTGCATAATCCTATTTCCCATTGTATAACCTTTATCCTTCACACCTTCGCGTTTCGGTGCGTTCTGGTTCCTTGTTGTCCACCGTCGCGTCATTGCCAGCCACCATCAATCCGTTTAGCTGTGTGTTGGATTACATATATCTTGGGAGTAGGCGTCGTCGTCTTGTCACATCTAACAACGTTAATCGTACATGCAACTTTGGTTGCCTATCCTTGACGCCGTCAATCTGTTCGGTAGATACAATCGCTACAAATTTATTCTATCGAGCTGGTCCTTCAAATCATCAAAATACCCTACAGTAATAATAAACCTAACTGATAGTAGCTGGCTGAAAAGAAATAAACATTTAAACCACGGATACTATTTGACAGGTTGGTCGTATCTATATGGACGTTGAATAATAAACAAATATTATAACTATTTAGTTTACCTAAAAAAACAATATGTATTATATTTTATATCTGTAAATCCAGTGATTGTCTTAAACTAATAAATTAAAGGTAAAAACCAATTTTTCTTTTTGGAATTTATAAACGAAGGTATTATGTGATTTATGATACACCCGAGTCTGCGAGTCTTTATTAATTTGTTGCTGATGATAATTCTATTGTTGAAATTGTATGAGTATGTATTATTATAATTTCTTACCTGGTTGATGTTAGGTATATGATTAAACGATGATATTTTAAGATGAGAGTTTGACAATGTTAGTTTTCTCAAAATAACGCAAAACACAATTTTGATATGAGTAAAAGTTATTTTAATAATTCACAACAAGATATAAAATTTAAATGAGTACGTTAAAGTACGAAATAAGACGGTGTGTGTGATAGTGTGCAACTGAGCTCCGACTCAACTGAAGAGAGCAGACTGTTCTAAATATCGAAATGGGGTTCTACTTATATTATTGACCTTTATTGATACCTTGATGTTCCATATTAAATTTTTATTGTTTATTTAGCATAAGTGCATGGGTGAAATCAAATATATATAATATGGTTATTATTTATTAGTTGTTTTTGGATGTATTTTATATTAATATCAGGGTAGGTATATGGCTACAGATATTTTTTATGTTTTGATAGTGTTTATTAGATATTGTATTGTCATTTGATTTCACAGTGAGTATGCATGTTGTTGTTGTGTATAATTTTGGGTATCTAATATAATTTTTAGCTACATGGGTACAGATATTTATTGTGGTAATTTGGTAATGACATATTTAATAGTATTATGATGGTATTGAATCATGAAGATGTGTTGGTGAAATGATGGAGATGTCATTACAGTACTCGAGGATCAGTCGTCTTAGGCTATTTTTTTATTACTTATTTACATAAAATATCGTCTAATTAATCTTAAAATGTCAGGCAATATAATTTGTTTTGCTGACGATACATTATAGTTTCTGGCTTCTGCAATTGAACATAAAATATATTGATGAATATTGAATTATACCTAGCGATTTGAAGCACCTACATGTACAATAATATTTTTATATTTACGATAATTTAATAATGTAATTCATAATATGAATATTTAAGTCGACAGAAACTCAAAACCTTTAAGAAACTAAATGTTTAATTCAACTTTAACTTTTATACTCATTAATGCACAGCATAAGTATAATTAATGAATATACTTCATTATAACAAAAAAATATATAGATTTTAATTGAATACCTATCAGTGCTATCACAATGAATAATTAATAGATTATCGTAACAATTTCAGCTGCCACCGATGTTTTAAACTTCCTTTCAAACTTTTGTTCTCGAAAACTTAGAAATCCCAGATGCAGCAAAAGAAAATTGTTTTTGTGTAACGTATTTACAAATAAATAACATTATCTCCCCCGTCGGGAGTCGGGACCCACCTTGATGTGGTGGGGGAGCTTGCGGGCCTTTAATTAGGTCTTACCAAGCGGTTACAACCCAGCTGTGACCTTAACCGGTTGAAGTCGGAGCTTTAAGAGCCGCCCTTGCCTTAAGCAGCTGGGGTCGGCAGGTTGGAGGTAGCCTGCTAGCGCTAGCCAAGCCCTAGTGGAAGGAAAACCACGATAAAAAATTCTGAGCTGGCCCTTTCTCTGAATAAGTGATAGGAGAGAGGGCTGGTAAGGTCGGAGGCAGCCTGCTCCCGCTGAGCGAATGCCCTAGTGGAAGAAAAACCATGATAAAAAAAACCCTTAACCCCCAACTCGTAAAGGGGGAGTACTTTGCACGGAGGTCAGTGAAACGTGTCTACGAGGACCCTGTGGAGGACCAGGCAACCTTCCACAGTAGCCTATTTTGGCAGCCTTCACTGCGGTACGCTGCACTGCCGCAGTGCGACTTTTATATCATGCATACTCGTGGGAATCATATGGAGAACCTCAAAAAACCAAACCGACTTGATACAATGGACAAAACAAACGCATCGGAAAACAGCAACAATGGAGAATATGGAAAACTTAAATACAAATATGGCATTAGGAACACCCTAGAGAAAGCGGGGTCGTATACTTCTACTGAAAAGGTAAATTTTTCTCGTAGTTACGATTTACAATATTTCCAACACAATTTTTCTTCTAAATACGCAGATGTTCATTGTGTATGCACTATGCGAACTTAAATTTTATTTTTAAATTATGATATTCTATACACTTTATACACATAATATAATATATTATACATCATGGAGTATAAGAACAATTATGTCTGAAAGTCGAAGACACTATATTAATAAAAATCCATTTGGACTTATTTAAGGCCCTTGCATATACCGGCAAGAACGTAGCTGTAGCTACCAACAAGACCTTACCTGACTACAAGCGAAAGCAGTGGCGTATTTTGAAATTTTTTGTGGGGGGGGTCTAAATATTAGGTACCTACAAGTTTATAATACAAAAAAAACCTTATAAGTAGGTAATAATAAAATTATAATTTATAATGAAAGTTAATTTGAATATTAGTTGGTTAATATAAAAAATCGTGGTTCACACTGCCCGGAAAGGAACACATTGACCGGGCAATG